ACTGAATTTCATTTTGTTAGATAGTGTTCAAGTCTGTCAAGATCCTTCTGTATCTTGAGCTTATCTTCTGGCATATTGGCTATTCCTGCCAGCTTGGTATCAAATTTGATGAGTTCCCTTTCTAGCCCCACTGCATACTTCCCTCCATGTATAGAAGCAGTTCCATTAAGGACTACATGTTGAGTATGATTAATCAGCCACTTACAAGTCCATTTGGTAGTGATGCTTCCTAACCCACATTTTTCTAACTTAGCAAGTAGTAGTTTATAGTCTATTTATCACACCTTACTGAAGTCCAAATAAATGATATCCACAGGTCAAAGAATGCAATAAGTTTTGTCTGGCATATTTGTTTTTGCCAAACCCATTCTGGGTTTGTCATCAGACTCTATCAATGGCATTTTTATTTCATGTTTGTTTGCCTTCTCCATTTGGTTCTGAGCAATATACTTTGACTTTTGAAAGTAGACCAGTCTTACCTGAATACACAATTTCAGAATTTTGAATTAACCATCTTCATAGTAATATCTACTAATGGTTCTATTCATAATCTTCCCTAAAAACTATAATTATAAAATTTATAGTGGTCTTATTTCTATTGAACATGCAAAATCACAAGCATTCAAAAATTAATACCAAACTCCATACTGTGAATCAGTAATACTATTATTATGAAGACATTTAATGTAAAAAATATTCCCAAAGTAGCCCTTTGCAACCTATTTCCCACTAGTAGTGATGAAATCCCCCAAAATTGGAAGATACCAGCTTTGATAAGATGCTCCATAGTTTGGTACATTATTATTATGCAAGAATATAGACAAATATTCATAAGCATGAAAGAGAAGACTTACCTGGTTTATACTTTTCACCTGTAAGAAAATAATTTTCAAAAAGTTAAAGTACTAATAATTAATTAATCATTACCATATGGATGTTATTTTTGTTTGCAGTATTTTAAACTTGTTTATTTTACGATCTTTGTTTAAGATACTATTTAGCACAGATAGTAAACTGAACTGAAGGAAACAAGACAAGTAAGAAAAAAAATTACAGGTGATTCTTGATTAATAACTGCCTTGTTCAGTGACCACTTGAATTCTCATGGCACTGGTCCTCAAATGTATCACAACATCCCTGCAGTCACATGATGACAATATGGGTGGATCTCAATTGGCATGATTTACAATGGTCGCAGTGTCCCACAATCACATGACTAACATTTGTGACTTTCACAGTCAGCTTCTGACAAGCAAAATCAATGGGGAAGCTTACAGTAAGTTGCAAGTCATGATTAAAAGATGTTGTACTTAACAACCACAGATGATTCTCTTAATTACTGAAGCAGAGCTGACGTTATAAGCTGGGCACAGTCATGTAATGTTTCATTTAGTGACCACATTGTTTAGAATCAGAGTTGCTAGTTCCTCTTGTGGTGATTAAGTGATGCCTATTCTGAACCTATTTAGAATGGCCTTCAAATTCAGATCAAATCCAGCACTATGCAAATTGAGCATATCATGATTGCTTTTGAGGTTTTAACCTTAACGATATTAGTGTTTGAGACTCTTCTCCAGTTTATTTCTAGATTGTATAGCAATTGAAATATGATATTGGAGCTCTGGAGTAGCATTGTTCTACATAGCTTAGCAGAACAATTAAGAATGACCATTTTATCTAATAAGATTTCATCTTCCTTAGAATTTAATCAGTAATTGCACAAGCAATATTTGAACTGCTGCCTTTACAAGGGAGCAATTGATAATACCAGAAATTCTCAAATAAGCTCCTGCCTTTCTTAGAGGACTGCTAACAGATAAACTATCACAATTTCTCAAATGATTCTCTCTTTCCATATGTTCATAGTGATCTAAATATTAACAGAATGTCATGGGAACTATCACAAAAAAGACAACAATCAGTAGACCACGATGTCCAACTCGCCACATCACATGATGTGTTGCAACATATCGTGACTTTTTTTTTGCATTGTGGGCTGGCAGTTTGCCCCTGCAGTAGATCATACAGTATGCAACAAGGAATATGTGAAAGGGCCTTTCAGGATTTGCCTTCAAGTACTTGTTCTGTTTCTTCTTTCTATTGCAGACTCATAGTTCGTCTTAAATGATTAATTAAAAGTATCAGTAAAAAGGTCACACAGACATTTGATGAGACCCACATTTAGCATGCGTTAGTGCAACATCTGTTAAGACACTACTAATAGTTTATGCTGGGATTCAATTTACAACAGCAATTGCCGTCCTAAATGATACAGTCACACTTTATGACCACTTGACTTTGTGACAGAAATTCTGGTCTCAATAGCCATTGTAAGTGAAGAATTACTTGCAGTAGTTTGATCACCTGGAAAATTCAAGTGAATAATCTCCTTCTCTGTCATGGATCCCAACCTCTGAAACAGAATAGATAAGGACAGACATCTCTCTTCTAGGGTTCAGAAAAACTTTTAAAACCTGGCTTTGGTCCCAAGCCTGGACTTGGTGTATCAGTATTATTGTGTTTTTTTGTTGGATTTGTGTTATTTACAAGTTAGTTTTACTTTAGGCTGTCCGTTTGATTTGATATTTTAAATTTTATGGATTTCCCAGTTTTGTATGCTGCTCAAAGTCTATTGGATTTGGGCAACTAATATGACAAGAAATGACAAGAGACAATAAAATTAATACCTGTAGTAAGGGAACCATCTTATCTTACAAGTGCCTCTACAGTACTATTTAGTGAATAACCATATTGATTCCACATTTCCAGTAAAAATCAAGACTTGAGGAGTTCATACCTGTGCAGAGAACTGTAGCATCTTGTTGATGATTGCAGTTATGCACACCCCACCCAGGGTTCTTACAACTCCACAGAAAGAATTCATCTCCATTGCATTGGACGTCACTTAGGACAATTTCGCCGGAGCCTGAGCCAAACTTAGGCCAGGGTAGGGTTGCTACAGCGTCCCCACATCCTAGCTGTTGGCAAACGACCTGAGCATCTTTCATATCCCAGTTGTTGCCACAGACAGTTCCCCAGGCTCCTTCATAATACACTTCCACACGTCCCTCACAATAGTTGTACGTGCCTGCCAGTCTGAGAGACAATCCTATGCAAGACCAAAGTGAACAGATTAATATTGTTTACAGTTGGATGTGAATGAAATACAATAGGTTTAGTTCTTTCATTTCACAGAAAAGACTTCCCTGATTGGGGGGAGGGGTGTATCTATCAAATATTCTGTAAATTTTGGCAATTATAGTGCCAACATCTGGAAAACTATCATATAAGCAGCCTGAGACTGAAACTTTCTTCTAACAGTACTTTAATCCAAAGTGAGTTTTAAATGGCAGTATAGTAGATATTCATATGTATTTATTTTTAAGGAAGGGTGGTAGAAAACACAGTGAAAATTCTGACCACTTAAGTACTTCTTTTTCCCAAGCTATCCTGGAAGTGCCTTACCTTTATTTTGCTTTATTTTATGTAACAAATATCTAAATTTCATATCTAATTCTAACTCTCCTGTTTTACAATTGCACAGTTCTATTCCACATATCTTTGCATACATTTCCGATCAACAGTAATGTTTTGCAAGAGATTTACTAAAATATAATGCATTTTTGTATGTCATTCACATTATTATACATGCTTTTTAATCTGTGCTTTCTTAACATAAACATTTGATGGACATGACAGATAGGAGACAAATATTGCATTGCCAGTCAATTTTCACAATTCAATTTTGAAGAGGTATATTAGATTAAAAATACAAAATTATAGCAATTATCATTAAAATGGGCACCAGACTAATTTCTTCCCTGTTACCTAAATGAGAATATTCCCATGATTGGTTATGATTATATGTGGTTGGGGATGTGATATAAAAGGAAGTTGTGTTTTTCAAAGGGACATTTTTGCACATAAATACATTTTCCCTACATGCTCAGTTTGCTTTATGAAAGATAAGAAGGTATGAAACATAAGATTCATATTTGCAAAGATAAAAGATATTATTTTTTTTTAATTTAGTTAGTCTGACATTCATCAGACTAACCTAGTGTTGAATATGGTTGCACTAACCTGGTGTTGGAGGTATCATCGGGGTAGATAGAGCTGGCACTAAATTGTGATTAAAGAAGCAGATTATTACAATGATTATCACCATCATTGCTGTTATGATAATAATTTCCAAATGCATACAAAACCCTTTGATCATACTGTACAAAGAATACTGAATTGATACACAGGAACGTTGACTGAAACCCTCAAAATCTAGTTTGCCCAATATTACTGGTGGCATAAGGCATAGGTCCACAAGGGGGAGCTAAATCTTTACATTTAGTAACCTGTCCAATCTAAAAATGGATAGCAATCCATTATTATACTAATCTAATGTTAGGGCTTCTTGACATATTTATAGTTGTTCTAAAAGTGGGTCATTAGAAGCAAAACAAAAAAAAAACCCTACTGAAAACCAACACCCACCGTTAGATTTCATTTTGTCTTTGCAGAACTAGAAGTTTATATTTGTAAAGCTACTACATCCAGGTGAAAAAATATCGGGCCAACTCCAAGATGGCAATTAAAATATACAGAAACCTCTCATTCCTTGCTGCCATCACGTGGCTACATGAATTTTCCCAGATCAGATATAGTAGTCCGAAATAAATACAACTGGGTTTATTCATTTTGGATTGCAGTTTGATTTCCATGTTTTAAAAAAACCCAATTGAATCAGATGGAAATAAATATCTTTTACTGATAAATAAGGTTTGTAAGCCAATTATTATGAAAAAAAAATTCAGCTCAACACTATTTTTGATTTGTCACTCTTAACAGGGGCTCCTGTCCAAAAGCAATCCCCAAATTTCAGCTGTGATATTTAATAGTACTTTTATATTTCTAAGCACTTCAATATGTACAAAAAGATAACGTTGGATTTATCATGAGTGAAGTTGAAGGATTAATTTTGTAATACCCCAGATCTGGGTACTCTTATAATCTCCCTTATAATTCAAGCGAGATTGAGATACTGAGTCACGTTCTGTTATGTTGCTCAATTGTTATATTATTGATTTTGATTTGCAAACCAAGTGTACCTCATATATTCTATACTTTTCATTTTATTGGCAGATGCAGATACAGCTCTTCTGGGTGGCTAAATATTGTGCCATAGCTTATTCTGAACTAATCAATGAAAAAGTCAAGTTTTCACTGATTGATTGATTGCCTACACAGTCTGGAACTTCCTTCCTTCCTTCCTTCCTTCCTTCCTTCCTTCCTTCCTTCCTTCCTTCCTTCCTTCCTTCCTTCCCACAAGTGGTGATTCCCAAATCATCACTCAGTCAATCACAAGCAAAATTGATGAGATGCTATTCTCTAGTCTAGATGAGAATGCAGCTGACTGAATACTAATGCATTCTAAAGAAACCTTTATATGTATATATAAAACATGATGTTATAAAGAAGAAAAGTAGTCAAAATGTTTAAGAGGTATATTTTCTTTCTAAAATATCTTCTTTCTTCTGGGATGGATGAAGGAACTCTTGTTCATGCATTCCATTCCTGCAGTCTGGAACAGTGGAGCTTAGATATAGATTTGATACTACATTTTACTCTGTATGACAAGGTGGCTGGGCACTACTAATTTTGAGAATCTGTATTATAAAAGAAATTAATCCACTCCCACCTAGCCACTCTAATTTTGGCATCTATGCTTTTGTTTGAAAAGCTACAACTGCATCTGGAACTCAGTCATTTGAAAGCATTTTTAATCACTTTTACTTGTCATTAAGCTAATAAAAATAATGAGAATTAACTCCTTTGTATTGCATATATAAACAGAACAATAGCAGGAGGGAAAGACACCAATCACCCCCTTTCTTCTTGCTCCCTTTTTTCTCTTCTGCAAACCTATAGTTCAGGGATGTCAAACTGCTGGCTCGCGGGCTGGATGGGTCATGCTGAAACCATGCCCACCCCACTGCTAGCAATGGAAAAAAATCACAATACATCGCAACATGTCATATGACATTGCGAGTTTTTCACCCTGCTATAGTTCCTCAAATCTGCTTGTCCCAATTAAAAACAACTTGGGATCTCTGCTATCATGCCACTGTTATGGGTATCTTAAAAGATGATGTAGTAAAAGTGCTACACTCAATTTGCCAGCAAATTTGGAAAACTCAACAGTGGCCACAGGATTGGAAAAGGTCAGTTTCTATCCCAATTCCAAAGAAAGGCAATGCCAAAGAATGTTCAAACTATTGTACTCATTTCACATGCAAGTAAAGTTATGCTTAAAATCCTACAAGCTAGACTCCAGTAGTATGTGGATCAAGAACTTCCAGAAGTACAGGCAGGATTTCGAAGAGGCAGAGGAACTAGAGATCAAATTTCCAACACACGCTAGATCATGGAGAAAGCTAGGGAGTTCCAGAAAAACATCTACTTCTGCTTCATTGACTATGCTAAAGCCTTTGATTGTGTGGATCATAACAAATTGTGGCAAGTTCTTAAAGAGATGGGAGTACCAGACCATCTTATTTGTCTCTTGAGAAACCTATATGTGGGTCAAGAAGCAACAGTGAGAACTGGACACGGAGCCACTGATTGGTTCAAAATTGGGAAAGGAGTCTGGCAAGGCTTATTCTGTCACCCTGGCTATTTAACTTATATGCAGAAAGGCAGGGCTAGATGAATCAAAAGTTGGAATTAAGATTGCCGGAAGAAATATCCCCAATCTAAGATATGCAGATGATACCACTAATGGCAGAAAGTGAAGAGGAACTAAAGAGCCTCTTGATGCGGGTGAAGAAGGAGAGTGCAAAAGTTGGCTTGAAACTCAACATTAGAAAACCAAGATCATGGCATCCGACCCTCTCAATTCCTGGCAAATAGATGGGGAAGAAATGGAGGTAGTGATAGATTTTATCTTCCTGGGCTCCAAGATCACCACAGATGGGGACTGCAGCCAAGAAATTAAAAGACGCTTGCTCCTGGGGAGGAAAGCTATGGCAAATCTAGACAGCATACTAAAAAGCAGAGATATCACCCTGCCAACAAAAGTATGTATAGTCAAGGCCATGGTTTTCTCAGTTAAAATGTATGGCTGTGAAAGTTGGACCATAAGAAAGTCTGAGCGCAAAAGAATTGAGGCCTTCAAACTATGGTGTTGGAGAAGACTCCTGTGAGTCCCCTGGACTGCAAGGCAATCAAACCGGTCAGTCCTAGAGGAGATCAACCTTGACTGCTCTTTAGAAGGCCAGATCCTCAAGTTGAAATTAGAAGGAAGGACTCACTGGAGAAGGGCCTAATGCTGGAAAAGATTGAGGGCAATAGAAGAAGGGGATGATAGAGAATGAGGTGGTTGGATGGAGTCACTGAAGCAGTAGGCGTGAGCTTAAATAGACTCCAGAAGATGGTAGAGGACAGGAAAGCCTGGAGGAACATTGTCCATGGGGTCATGATGGGTCGGACACGACTTCACAACTAACAACAACAATAACAATGCAAAGGATTTAACATCAACATGTGGGTCCTCTTCTTAAATTCAAAGTCTTAAAAAAGTACTTAGTGCCACTATTAAATAATAAAGTAATAAAACGGTTAGCCTTTGTGCAATCATGTCAGGATTATCATTGGCAGTTAAATCTACTCTTCCCTCCTACTGAGGATCACTTCATCCTAATCTTTGTCCTTGGAAAATTTTCTACCTTGCAGAGTTCAATATAGATATATAGTAGGCATGTTACCTGAGCCAACGTCCTGAAGTATTTCTGTAATTAACATTAAAAATAGTGTGGGTTCCATGGCAGTATACATCCTCCTGGGTCTTTTCCTTTTGTATAAAGTATGTTTGCGTTCTTATATATATATTGAATTTTCAAGGGAGTGGCTTACTGTTTCTTTTGGCAATAGTAAAACGAAAAATAAATGAGGAGATATGTTAAAACTCTCCCTCTCCCTCTCTCTGTCTCTCTCTCTCTCTCTCTCTCTCTCTCTCTCTCTCACCGAACAACTCATTTTTTCAAAAGTTTTGCTTCCTGAAAATCGTTTGGTGATTATGATAAACCCCTTCCAAATGAATGCAAATATAATTTCAGAATGACTGTACCTCATAGGAATCTTGAGAAATATGAAATTAACTTTTGGTGACTATAATACATTTAATGGCATTAATGCTTCTGACAGGTGCATGAGTTTCCCAGAGCTAAAAGTGTTTTGTTGATGCTTTCCATTTGCACTCAGTGTCTGAAGCATCTCATTGCAGTGTTTGATAATAATCAGCCAGCACTGTTGGATTCCAAAATAGACCCTTTTCTAGTGGATCATGCTCATAACTCATGACTGTAAACAAACTGTCAATGTCAGCTCAAAAATTAAAGTTGTCAGTCTGTATAAAGAAATTTATTAAATCATTCTGGTGACTTTGCAGAAATAGAAGATTTTTATAAAACGATAGTTTAAATTACAGGTTGTTTTTGTGATTAGCAGCCAAACATCTACAAGATACCTCCAAAAGTAAAATATTTGTTGTCCAGTGATTAGCATAGTATAGGAGAGTTTGAATAATCAGCATTATAAAACTAGTTTAATATTGGCTTCCCTGGCTATATCCTTTAGTTGAGACAAAAGCTAAAAACTCATTTCTGTGCAAACAAAAATACAGAACTTTATCTTAAAACAATCTTTTCTAGATGTGTGCTTGCTAGTATCGAACACAAGGAAACCTACTGTTTTATGTTCATTTAGAAACAAACAATTTATCATAAATGCAGTATCAGCTAATGACCACAGACATAACAATTAGACACATAAAAAGTTACAGACGTACTTCACTGTAACCCTGTGTATATGCTTTAATGTTCTTCCTTCTTTGAGGTGCACTAAGTACTGTTAGGCAAGATTTGTACTCTGTGAGGTTCAGAGAATAGAGTTCATCCTAAGAACATTTATGCTTACTCTGCCCTACCTGAAGTTATAGATTAATTGAGATGATCAGTGACTGCTTGTGTGGCTCATTCCATTGTATCACTGGAAGGCTAAGATCAAGAGAAATAACTAGAAGCTTGAGTCATCTTTGGGTAGCTCAACTATTGCTTTGGGTAGCTCAACTA